TTGGCCCCATTTTATAGATGAGCAAACTGAGCCTCCAGAAGCTTAGTGCCTTGCTATAGGACACGCAGCAACTGAGCAGCAGAACTGAGAATGAACCCAGGTTTTCTGACTCGGAGTCCCCAGTTCATTTCCCTATTTCATTCACCGGGTCTGCATTTTCTCTGACTGTTTCCCCATCTTTGATGGTACCATGTGCATTGACTGAATCAAGCTTCCATAGATGAAATAAGTAGATTCAGTTGAAGACTGCCTAGAACTAAGGTGCAGTTTTGGAAAGCAGGTCATTCTTAAGGCAGCAACCAGTATCACGTGCTTTTCAACAGCTGATACCATCACCGTGGGGAGCAGGGTGGTATAGGGTGTTGTTTAATATTTAGGCTGACTTATCTGTGGCAAAAGAACAGTAGAAAGCCTCCTGCAAATTTTGGTGCTCCCAACATGATGCTCGGAGCCTTCCCAGGAGGCATTCTTGGAGAGGAGAAGAGAGCGTAATACAGAAGGACTTATTATAACAAGGGTGATGAAGTTAAGATTTTGTAATCACACGAAGTTGTGCAAATTATGCACAAAGTAAAAAGCTTCTGCAAAGGAATCCAGACTTCCCTGGCATTCTGGACCAAACAGCTCCCCAGTGATGAGACCCAGAGGTATTTTGAAATATAAGTATGCTTCCTATATGAGGAAGAAATACGCAGGTGCATAAAAATCACATGCCAGAATTAGTCAAAGATGATTTGTCAAGGCCATGCAAACTGGGAACACACATTCTGAATCGGTGTCTACAAATTCGACACGGTACGTGGTGTCTTCTGACCTCTCTCAGCCTAGAACTGGATTTCGTGGATACGTACGTACATGTTCTTGCAAGAGCGTGTGAGCGTGATATTTTAGGAACTGAAAGGATTGGAAAGGCACTACTGTAGAGGTAATTTAGTCCCACTCTTTCACTTTTACAAAGAGTTTGAAGCTCATACTGGCTGCATGGACTGTGCATCCTCGCACAGAGACCAGAAGTCCCCTGGCCTCTCCTTGTCCACTGTCTTCTCCAAACACAGTGTTTGAACCGATGTGGGAGTGGGGTCTGGGAACCCCAAGATCCGAAGGTCACCCGTGAACAGGAAACTGTGGCTTTCACACAATTTCAATACCAAAGTGTACACTGAACACTCAATCCTTCAGAATGCTGGGCAGTGAAAAAGCCTGCTTGAAAAGCCACTGCTCTGCCCACCAGCGGAGCAGACAGGCAACCTGGATCAGAGACAAGGGTGCTCCGGGGGAGGGTCTGGACGGGACTCACAGGCTCCCATCACCCAGGTGAGAAGGAATCCTGTCACTCCCACCCTGGCATGAAGTGCCAGGGTCCTGGTCTAAGCTTGTTCTCATTGACGGCCATGCCAATCCCTGTGTATGCAGCTAAAGAGGTTAGCACATCCTGGGTTCACCGACCACAGCTTCCTCCTTACCCTCAGGGCCTGTGCCGAGAGGTCTGAGCATCGGGGAGATATTGCTTCACTTCTCCTTAGGGTGTCCACATCAAGACCCTGGAGCCATCTTACCACCCTTCCGGGTCAGCTGGGGGCCTTCTGGGTAAGTGGCAAGCATCCTAGTGAGGGAAGTTTTCTAGAGTGGAGCATCTTATTACTAAACCAGGGATACTGAGACACTTGCACGCACCCACCAATGAGAAGAGAAACTGGCATGAAATGACCGGTGGGTGACCACCTCCCTACAGGAA